TATATATATATATATATATCAAATTTGTACCCCGCCCTCCCCACAAAGCAGGCTAAAATTTATATTTCATACCTTGTCTTGAGGAATGACATCCCAGTGAAAAACTTTAGTTCTTGTTGAAGCTGGAGGCAAGTTGGGTGACTTGGGGGAAGGAGGCATGGCCCACGTGTCTCCTGACACTAAAGGATGTTGAGTTGTCGCTGAAAATCTACAGGAATTTTCCGGGAAGACATGATCCATGGTCCCAGCCAGTGGGGCTACTTTGAGATGGGAGGCCTCTCCTGTCTTCCTTGCATTTAAATGGCAAACTTCCCCATCTGTCATTCCTGAGGCACCATCCTGAGTCAATGATCTTGCCTTGAGCACTGAGCAGTACCTGTCTATGAGCATTAACCACTCGTTTTGGAGCTTGCAAATGTCCTCTAACTTCTTGTTCTGGACAGTAAAGGGTATTTGGAATCTACAGTGTAAAAAAAAAAAAGATGTGTGCGAATTCAAGTGTACATGAAATGTCAACCAGCACAAGCAAAACCATTTCTGTTTTGTGCCCACTGATGTTCGACAGTTTTACTTGTCAAGAAGGGCAGAACTGTGGACTCTGACCTTTTCAGGCAGCGTTAATTGCTTAGGCTTTTGAAGAAAAAAGAGCTGAGATTTAGTTTTCTCTGTCTGGGTGCAATATATTGACTCAGATGAACAATTTCCTCATAATTGTCTGTTCTTCAGTTTGAACTGAACTAGTTCTTCATGCTTGAAGACATAGTTAGACATTTTCTCCAGAATCTGACCTCTGTAAATACACCCCGATGACTTATATTACCATGAGAAACAGAAATTCAGTTATCAGGGCTTTGTTAGTCCCAGAAACTCGTTTCAAGAATAAAAACTGGTCCAGAAATATGCTTGATAGAATAAAAATGCCCTTTGATATTTTCCTGGTGTCTTTTCTTCATCAACAAACCACCACAGTTGAATATTACATATCCAGGATATTGGGGGAAGGTAGAGGGAAAGTAAATCACATAGGCACAAACCATGGCATCTCCTATTTTAGAAATGAAACTTGCATAACTAATTTATTTGTAGTGCACAGAATCAAACATCTCATTTCTGTGTATCTGGTCTCACTTTGGGAGAAACTAAGCTTGTGATAATAATAGTTCAGAGAATTTATTGTTTTACTAATTAGTTTAACTTTAGGGGTTGCATGATCCCTCAATAGGTTAATATGATCTGTAGTGTGGTACAGGTCAACATACATATCTACCTGTGAGCAACATGCAATGGGAAGTACACATGTACATTGATAAAATCAAAGCTGATTTCCACAGTCCTTCCACCTGAGTGGAAGAATTGTGGGAAACAGGCATAGTAACAAAAATATGTGTATTTTTCATAGAGGTGCCAGCCTCCAGGTGGGACCTGGGGATCCTTTGGAATTACAGCTCATCTCCAGCTTACAGAGATCACTTCTTCTGATAAAATGGATGCTTTGGAGGGTGGACTATATGGCATTGTACCCCACTGAGGTCCCCGTCCTCCCCGGCTCCATCCTCAAATCTCCAAGAGTTTTCTAACCTAAATCTGACAACCCTACCCCCCATCCCCCACCAGTGGCCCAGGGGACCTGGCAATTCTAATTTTTCAGGACACATGGAGAAAATTACTGTGTGAGTTATGCGAAAGAATATGACATGGGGGGCATTTGTCAAAAGGGTGTGAATCCCTTTAGTTACATTAAACTTAATGTAACTTAAACTTAACATATTTATGGATAGGGATGGGCATGAACCAAACCACAAAGCAAGACTCGTCACGAATTTTGGCCTGTTTGTGGTTCGGGAACAGAAGTTCGTGACAGGTCTACCATCACAAACTTCCATGAATTTTTACAGCAGTTCGTGCAGTTCATGGTGGTTCAGGGATGGAGGAGAAAGCAGGGGGTTAAAGGGACTCTGAGTCCCTTTAAACCCGTTTTTTGTTCCCTGTGAAAACCTCCAAAAGCAGCTGACCACACAGCTGTTTTTCACACTGTCTTCTGCAGCCCCTTTAAACTTTAAATACACTGCAGAAGACAGCCTGAAACAGCTGCATGGCAGGGAACACCTCCCTGCTGCGCACCTGTTTTTCGGGCTTCCTTCTGCAGTTCTGAAGTTCCTTTAAAGTTTAAAGGGACTGCACAAAACAGCACCAAACAGCTGAGCAGCTCAGCAGCAAAGCTCAGCTTTTTTCAGACTTGCTGCAAAGACTGTAGTCCCTTTCAATGGGGTTTGCAGGGCCATAAACCATGAATCAGTTCAGTTCATGAATGAGCCTCCTATTTGGTTTGTGGTTCTGCCAAAGACCACAAACTGAACCACATTTTCCCAGTTCATGCCCATCCCTACTTATAGGTACTAATCCCTTAAATTTAGTTAAAATCTAGACCACTTTTCCAGATAGCTTGGCATTGGGGGTGGGGTGGGGCAGAGAGCTCAGGGTCCTCTGACTGGTGGCCTTTGCTCCACTGTGCTATTCCCAATGCTGCCCTGGTGGCATTTGCACTGCTCAGAGTCCATTCACAGATTGCAACCATTTCCTAATGCCTGGAACTGCAGCTTGGAAATGGTGGTTGTTGCCAGAGCGCTTTTTGTAGAAAAAGCCCAACAGGAACTCATTAGCATAACAGGCCACACCCAAAAGCAGGAACTCATTAGCATATTGGGCCACACCCCTGACAGCACAGCTTGTTAGCACATTAGGCCGCACCCACATGTTACCAGAAGTGTGGTTATCCAGCCACACCCACCTTTTGCTTGTTATTCTGTTTACCTTGTTTGTTGTCAAAACCCAGGGCCTTTTTTTGTAGCAGGAACTCCTTTGCATGTTAGGCCACACACCCCTAATGTAGCCAATCCTAATGAGTTTCTGCTGTTGGGTGTGGCCTATTATGCTAATGAGTTCTTGCTGGGCGCGGTCAACTTGGGAACCAGCCGGAACTCCGTTCCTGTGCGTTCTGCCCAAAAATAGCCCTGGTTGTTGCTATGTGCACTGTCCACATCTTTTCCACTCTTTCAAGTTGACATAAGCACTAGGAAAGGATCAGAGGTCTGAGGGAAACCTAGTAAAAAGAGGTTTGCCTTCTTGCAAAAGGCATAGTGAAAAATGGCTATTTCTATCAACTTTAATGGAGTTCTGGATATCCCAGATTTTCTAAAATCTAAATCCAAAGGATTCTAATTCTAATTTCCGAATCCAGATTCTGGTGGTAGTGCATGTCCTAGCTTCTATTGCAGGGGTCCTCAGCGTGGTGCCATGGGGGCCACGGCATCTGCCAGTACATTCCCTGGCAAGTGTTTTTCAAAAGTGGGCAAGGTCAGGTGGGGTTTTTCCCCAACAGGGCATCTGATTGGCCACTGGAAATTCGATTAGCTGTGCAGATTTTTCAGAATGTTGTTTGGCAGCAGCTGCCACCATACCACAAGGATCTTCACTGTGTGACTGAAGGTAAGCTGTGGCAACCACTGTGTGGCAGCCTTCACCACCTGCAGTATCCATCTCATGGGACCCATTTTGTGGCTGCACCCACCATCCTGTGTCAGAATTCCAAAGGTGCCTTCAGGCTCAAAAAGTCTGGGGACCTCTGTTAATTTGATTTTTCCTACCTAACAGTCAAAGATGGCCCTCACCTACTCAGAGTGAGCTGATTACTCTTTGGATTGGCTCTTGTTTTGAAAGTGCATGTTTTCATAACACCCCTACCCTTCTGTTGTGTATATAAGTCTGCCTTATAGATTTGCACTCCAGTGCACCCGATGCAGTGAGTTCTGACTAAAGATGAAATTCAGTGCTAGAATAAATCTGGTTGGTGCCAATGAGCTCCAGTTTCACCTTTCAGACAGATGTGCCAAGGTGTAAGATCTATTTACAGCAGTAAGGAAGCCAATAGGGCAGCCCTGTAAGGGCTTGATTATCTGTCATGTTTCTGCTGTCTCCTAGTTTGAGTTGAACCACTTGTCAGTCTCATGAGCTGTATTTGCAGGGTTGCCAAGTGATAACTGAGCCGCAGCGGGGACTCCCAGCTGGCGGCTGGAGCGCGTGTGTGCTTTGCGCGCGCGCGCACCGCATCCACGTCACCCAGAAGTGACACGGGCACGCCAGGCACGCTGGGGGCGGGGCCACGACCATCCTAGGGAAAACCATAGAGTTTTCCCTAGGATGACTGTGGCCCCGCCCCCAGCGTGCCCAGCGTGCCTGCATCACTATTGGGCGATGTGCATGTCGGGGTGGAGTTCCCCCCGGGGCGCGATCCACCGGTGGCAGGGAACGGGCCTCTGGGGGGGGTTACCCGCCCCCCGGGGGGACTTGGCAAGCCTATGTATTTGGTTCACAAGTTAGTGTGACAGCTGCCCTTTGTGGCTCAATAATTGCCTTTGCCCACCCTTCCTCTTCCAAAAAAGAAATGCCTCTGCCAGGCATGACACAAACCCGGTGCCATAGCCCCCACGGGCCTGTTCCCACTCTGCAGGAACAGTGGTATCAGAAGGCCCAGGATGAGGTAGTTTAAAGGAGGCAAAATGCCAGACTGGATGAGCACAATCCTAGCATGGACCCGGAACAGTGCTCTGAGACTAATACTTCCTTCCGGGATTCTGGCCAGAAGACAGCACAGCCCCTGGAACTCCAGCACCTGCCAGCAGTGCAGCGGGGCCCAGTGACCTTCCAGCCTACTTAAGATGAGGCCTGGGAGGACTGTCTTGCTGGATCAACTGGTCCACCAGGCATAAGCCTCATGCCTCAGCTCCTGCTCCCCAAAGCTTGGCCAGCCCCTGGGCCAAGGGTCCAGTAATCCTTCACTGGCGAACTGACTGCAGAGAGTAGTGCAGGTAGGATTTAATAAAGCAGAGAACAGATGTTATTACATAAAACCCCAGTGGTGACAACATAGATCTCTCGGCATGTGTTTTTTGAGTTTGTGTGTAGTCAGAGAACACTTACAGGTACTTGGCTTCCTTTGTCTGAAGTGAGAAGGCACCCACACCGTCTTCCTTGCTGACAGTTACATCCCCCCTTGACAAGTCAATTGTTTTCACTCCAGGATCTGCCGCCTCCATCTCCTTTTGGTCGATGCAATGTAAACTCAATTCCTGTTTTCGGAGCTGCACTAAGTGTCTAGAGAACAAAAAGAGAGGCAATGGAAACCCGGTCTGCCAGTTAGAGATCCACGATAGCACAGATGGGCCTTCAATCTCAATGAAAAACACACCCGTGTTTTAAAGAAACCAGTAGATTATTTTTTTTCTCCATAGCTACCAGTGAGTACAGGTAAAAGCCAGATTTCCTTCTATATGCAACTAAGACTTACACTGTCACTAAGCATTCTTACTTTGAGGAAAGAATGAAACAAGTACCTTTTAGGTTTCCTTCATTCCACTCAAGATTCAATAGCGTACTAGGTATTCCTTTATATACAGCACACCCAAGTAGCTTTCTCATCACATACAATTGTATCATACTGAGGGGAGGGTCCATGGCTAAGTGGCACTTGTTGTGCCCGGAGAAGGTTCCAGGTTCAGTCCTTAGCGTCTCACTTTAAGTATCTCAAACAGCAGGTGCTTGGGAAGGAACGTCCCCAGCATTCAAGCAACTTTTAGGGAGTCCTTCGGTGGAAGACACCTGCCAGAAGTACTCCCCTATAGAATGGCCTCTATAGCTGTGCAGCTGATTTGTTACATTCCATTCACATCAACTGGAAACTCACCAGACACATTTTTTTGGCAGGACCAATAGGCAGTCTTAGGCAAATGCCTACAGTACCAGAGGCAGAAGGGCCCCTACCAGCCATGTCTCTGACCCACCCATCCACCCACACCATCTGGGACTGTCATGGCAAGTAGCAGCCCTGGGAGGTGCCCCCAGACCAGTGAGCAGCCTGTGGGGAGCCTACCCCTCCCCTCCCCTCCTCTCCCTCCGTCCCTCCATTGAAGGGGTAGGATGGGCCTTCTTCCTGCTTTCCTCCCCTCCCTGTAATGTAGTACTAAGTAGTAGAAGAAGAAGAGATTGGATTTATACGCCACCCTTCACTTGGGACTCTCAGAGCAGCTTACAAACTCCTTCCCCTTCCTTTCCCCACAACAGACACCCTGTGAGGTAGGTGGGGCTGAGGGAGCTCTTTCAAGAACTGCCCCCTTTCAAGGACAGCTCTTGTCAGAACTATGGCTTGCACAAGGTCATCCAGCAGCTGCAAGTGGAGAAGTGGGGAATCAAATCCAGTTCTCACAGATTAGAGTCCACACACTTAATCACTACACCAAACTGGGTGTCAAAGTAAGACAGGAGTGTTAAACATACATCCCAAAGGCTGGAACTGGCCCACCCAGGGCTTTAATCTGTCCCGGGGCTCTCTTCTCTCCCCGTCCCCACCCCTGCCTGTCCTCGCCTTTCCAAGCTGCCTTTGAGTGCAAAGAGCAGAGGACAGGGCTGCCAAACTTTCCCGATCTTCTCTGGTTTTTCCTGTGACTGCGTGGGTCTGCTAGAGTTATTTATTTGCTGAAGTCTTCTGGCTGAGGGGAAGGGGGCTCAGTCGCAAACGTTGTGCTTCCAAGTGGAGGCTTTTCTCATGCATTCATTGAGCTAAAGGCAGGAACCACGTGGGTCTGCTAGAGTTATTTGCTGAAGTTTGCTGGCTGAGGGGGAGGGGGCTTGGTTGAAAGCCTTGTGCTTCCGCGTGGAGGCTTTTCTCTCATGTTCATTGAGCTAAGGAGCCAGGTGGGTCTATCCCTGGCAACTCTAGTTAAAAGGATCAGGCTGTGGCTTATTATGAAAAAGACTTCAACCTGAGATCCTGGAGAGCCACTGCCACTCTGAGCAGACCTGGGGTGAAGCTTGCAATGCCCAGCCATTTCATGTTTCCCCCTGGGTCCTAGGCTCAGAGTATTGACCATGAGAACAGGCTGGGAAAGAAGAAGAAGAAGAAGAGATTGGATTTATACCCCGCCCTTCACTACCCAAAGGTGTCTCAGAGCGGCTTACTAACTCCTTTCCCTTCCCCTCCTCACAACAGACACCCTGTGAGGTAGGTGGGGCTGAGAGAGCTCTTGACAGAAACTGCTCTTTTTCAAGAACAGCTCTTATCAGAACTACGGTTTGCCCAAGGTCATCCAGCCAGGTGCAAGTGGAGGAGTGGGGAATCAAACCCGGTTCTCCCAGATTAGAGTCCGCGCACTTAACCACTACAAACTGGCTTTGTTCCCCACCCCAGGCAGAACAGGGGCATCAGCCCAGTGCTGCACTGCATCTTTAATTGTGTTTGTCTGTGTCCCTTTACCTCCACTACCTGGTATTATATTTTATGACAAACATAGCCCGGCCTAACAAAGTCCCATTTATGTAAGAGTTTGTGTGTATAACAAATGAGTTTGACACCCCTGACTGGTAAGGAGGGTATGCAGTGGCCCCCTGCCTCCTCGTGCAAGGGGGCAAAGATGTGCAGTGGCCTCCTACCTCCCCTCCCCAAGGTGCAGGGAGTTGAGGAGGTTGAGTGCTGGCCTTCTGCCTCCCCAATCTTGGTTCTGGTTGAGGAGGGTGTGCAGCAGCCTCCTGGTTCCCCCATATAATGGCAGAGTGAGGATGGCTGGCAGCGTCCTGCCTCCCTGCAGTGTTAAGGGGTAAGAGGAGATGTGGCAGCTTCATCGTAGCACTGGGCGGGGAAGCTTCCCTGCTCTAGCCAAGGGACAAAAATTCCTTGGACTGGCCCTACATATCAGGAGCGTAATACACTCAATATGTACGGTTGACAAGTCTTGTGAACTGGGAAACATGGGAATTGTTCATATGGTTACAACTGTTACTCACATGACCCAGAACCCTGAAAACTCAAGGATCAGGTTCACATGAAAAAACTGTACCTGCAGGGATAATGCCCAATTCACAAGGCAGTAACCATGTGTAAAGACTATGTCACAGGGATCTGCACACACCTGAAATGGGTGGCTTGGGGGGCTTCCAATTCATGCAAGCAGAACAAAATGGAACATCTGCAGAGAGCGTCTCCATTCCAAGGCACTTCCTCTCCTAGGCATTTTGCTAAAGAGGATTTGGGGGGGGGGGTTATCAAGTAGCAACCGACTTATAGTGACTGACCCTGTGGGGTTTTCAAGGCAAGAGATGTTCAAAGGTGATTTGCCATGGCCTGCCTCTGCATAGCAACCCTGGTATTCCTTGGTGGCCTCCCATCCAAATACAGGACCAACCCTGCTTCGCTTCTAAGATCTGATGAGATCAGACTGGCCTGGGGCTCTCCAGGCCAGACATTAGTCACATATAACCACAGAGAGTCATGTGCAACTTCTCCATCAGTGAGTGGAAATAACTACAGAAGGAGCCCTTTAGTCCAAAAAAGACCTTTGTCTGTCATTCCCTTCACCAACTGGCTATTCAAGCATCCTGCCTACCCCTCTGGTATGCCTTTACTTAAAGATTCATTTTTTCTTTTCTTTTTAAAGAGCTATGAGACATCACCCTGCCAACAAAAGTCCGCATGGTCAAAGCAATGTCATGTATGGCTGCGAGAGTTGGACCATAAGGAAGGCCAAGCGCCGAAGAATAGATTCTTTTGAACTATGGTGCTGGAGAAGACTCTTGAGAGTCCCTTGGACTGCAAGAAGATCGAATCAGTCGATCCTAAAAGAAATCAACCCTGACCGTTCCCTGGAAGGCCAGATAATGAAACTGAAGCTCAAATACTTTGGCCACCAAATGAGAAGGGAGCACTCACTGGAGAAGACCCTGATGCTGGGAAAGATTGAAGGTCAAAGAAGACGGGGATGGCAAAGGATGAGATGATTAGACAGTGTCATAGATGCAATGAAAATGAAATTGAGCAAACTTCAGAAGACGGCAGAAGACAGGAAGGCCTGGCATGATCTGGTCCATGGGGTCGCGGAGAGTCGGACTCGACTGTGCGACTGAACAACAACAAATCTATGCCTAGCTTGGTGAAGAAGTCTCCAAGGCCAACTGGCTCTGGGGCACTGCTTAAATAATGTTATGGCTGCTAGAAGCGTTCATTCAAAACCCACATGCACTCCTCTCAGGAATTCCCTCCCCCCTGTTTATGGCAAGCAAGTGAGCGAAATGAAGAGAAGCAAAACTGATGTTTGACAAAAGGAAACATTAGCACTTCTCTCCCTCCCATACCTCCATGGATACACACAAGTGTTTTGCTTGTACACACAGGAATCTTTGGATCTCATCCCAGGTGTTGTTTTGATATAGCCCTTCTGGGGACCCTTCCGTTCCGCATGCCCATGCCTATGTACATTTTTGCATTATTGTTATTATTATTATTTTTCAATTTTTAAGGACACAGGGAAATAGAAGAAGCAGACATACAAAGGAAGGCAAAGTAGAGAGGTAGCAAGCCTGGATGTCGGGTATATGCAAGGCCATTCAGCCAGGCTGTAGGCCCCCCAAAACTCCAGCTAAGATTTATTTGCTTTATTCTGTTTATGCTGGATAGCGTTAAAATAATACTATTGATGTGAATTCACCCACAGACCACGGTCTGTATCCAGTCATCCATGCACAGAAGTCACACTGAGTTTTCTTGCATTCTTCTCTGTCGCTACTGCCGCTTTCTGACTCCCCCCCCCAAAAAAAATATTACAGCCATGTGGGTTTGCAGGGCTACCAGCACTGCCTCGGGAAATGCTGGAAGATTTCGAAGGCAGTGCCTGGAGAGGGTGAAGTTTGGGGAGGAGGTAATGTCACTTTTTGCTGATGGTCTAGGAATTTCCCCTAAACTCTATGATAAAGACCATAGAGACATGGGGGAGTTCCTAGAGCATAACTATCGAGGTCTTTTTTTTCTCACCCAGTTTCTCAAGGGCATTAAGGGTGAGGGTGAGGGTGAGGATTTGTCCACAACAAGTAAGCAAATGGCAATCCTAGTTGGGGGCCTGGAATGGGGCGGGCAAAGGGTTGAAATTAACCCCCATCTCTCAGCACAGCTTTGCTTGCGGAACAGTAGGAAGGAGCTATTTCACTGCCTTATTCCAGACCAGTCTCCCCTCTAAGCTGAGCTAGTGTGAGCTAACTCACAGTTTTTTAGCCTCTGGCTCACACATTTTTGTCTTAGCTCAGGAAGGATGGCTCCAGGGCAAAGTAATTTA